TCAGTTAAAATGTTTATGAGCCTGCTGTTGTAATATAGGTAGGTTTTCAAGCTAGGAATATACTTTTTTTTTTTTTTGGTACCGGGGATTGAACCCGGGTTCTTGCACTTGCGAGGCAGGCGGCAGAACCACTGAGCTAAATCCCTGGCCCCGCCTGTGGCTTTCTTTCAGAGCTTTGGACACAGGATGTGCCTGGTGCTGACAGGCTGAAGGGTGGATGCCCCTGGGCTGAAGGTGCTTCGAAGAGCAATAGTAGCTCCCAAGCCCCAAGCCCCAAGCCCTTACAGGGCACTAAGCATTGACAGCGTTTCTGAAATCCTCCCAGCACCCCTACCGCCATACCCATTCCACGCAAAGGGAAATGAGGTTTGGGGAGGCTGAAAGCATACCTAGCATCTCACAACTAGGTGATGGGTGGAGTTTCTCTAAACCACCCTAGTCCTAATCATCCCCCTGGCCCACGGACTTGTTCATTTAGAGTTCACTGCATCCTGTCTCCCCAGCTCCTCTTGCCTCCCTAGAAGAGACTGCTAGCCTCCTGTCACTTGTCAGGCCTCATAGATGCCCCTCTGTCTGCAGGGGGAGAGGAATAAAAAGTTTGTGGGAAGGAAAAAAACCAGCACAGCCACTTTGGGAAAAGTTATATTGTGTTTTTAAAGGTTAAACAGCTGAGCATGGGCACATGCCTGTAATCCCAGCCCTCAGGAGGTTGAGGCAGGACAATCGCTCTGAGTTTGAGGTCAGCCTGGACTATATAGTGAGATCTTATCTCATAATTAAAAAAAGGTTAAACACAGGGCTGTGGGTGTAGCTCAGTGGTAGTGTGCTTGTCTAGCATGTACAAGGCTCAGAGTTCCATGCAAGCACTGGGGAAAAAGTCAAAAATAAGGTTACCACATGATCCAGTCATTCTACTGCTGGAGAATGTACTTACCAAGAGAAATGAGAATGCAGATCCACAGAAAGTCTTGTCTTGTACACAAGTATGCTTGGCAGCATTATTCACATTAGCCAAAACCTGGAAATAATCCAACTGCCCATCAAGTGGTGAATGGATAAACAAAGTGTGGTAATAGCCACAGAATGGAATACTCCTCAGCCATATAAAGGAGCAAGTGATACATACACACAAGGTAGAAGAACCTCAAAAACATTAT